AACGTCGACGTCGGCGGGGAGCAAACCCGCATCGTATGCCTATGAAGCGAGACCACTACCACTATGCCACGTCGGCACTTGATAGCAAAGCGACGAGTTCGCATATCCAAATAATACTACTGTCAAGCAAAATTCCAGCCCCCATAACTTTTTAAGCAAAACCATTTAGCAGTTTTAATTTCCATTTTCGTAAATAGCATTTAAAACGTTATCGATTTATCTGGGTCTCCATTCAAAGTCCCATGGTAAGTAGACTACCCCTCCCTGGTAAGAAGATGAGGCCAATGAAAAGATCCAGTTAAGTCATGATTATATTTTTCATGGAATTATGAGAGAGAGGAGATTCGATGGAGGTCTATGTCCTAATACGAATGAGTAGGCACATTTCCGTCCCTTGTCTGGACAACACTATTCGAGTTGAGTCTTTTGGTGTGTTGCTGTACATGTTTGATGATATGTATCGGGTAAGCTCAAATTATAAACTATTCATAGTTTCATATTATCCTGTCATCAATGTTATGCTCGAATTTTTTGGCGGAGCCGATACCCAAAGATTCTTTTCATATCCCAAATCGATCATTGATCGTTTGATAATCGACGCTGAGAATATTTGTTATAACTAGGGCTTCCTGGAACACTGGTGCCGAACACTTCGTAGAACGCAAGGTAGTCAATTCATTCATCTTTATTGAAGCATAACGTGATGGGAATCAGAAGTACTGGGAATGGAAAGGTAAGCATCATACGTCCGCTAGTCCAGTTTCAATAGAAATGGCTGGTATAAATAACCAAGACATTCGAAGGGAAAAGGCATAAAAACATTCAGGTGCCTTTTCCATATCATTTCATGCTAAAAATGTTCTTGTGAACTTTTGAAAAATAGATTTATCTATTTATGCCACTCATAAGCTCCTCAGTATATTTAGGTCTCACCTCGTTCTCATGACTTATTTCTATCTCGGTAACCTTTTCTGTGACAAGATTTCGTAATTTGAACTGAGTTAGTGGCTATTATTATAAAAAATTATTCTTCGCAACACTATTTACCCTTTTGAGCAGCAGTGTTCCCACATCGACTGAATCACAATCACATCCATGTTGATAATACATATATCTGTTGTGTTGTTCCAGCAGCTATTGCTTTGTTCTTTTCGTTAGAGTTACACGGATACACTAGTGTTCTGGAAAATATTTAAACTGTCAGCGATGAAGGTCATGAAAGAAGGAGGTTCCCATTTGGACTTCACTATGAATAGTGTTTGGAGATGTCATTGAGGGATGCAAATATTTAGCGTTCTTAGGAAGTGGCTTATGTCAGATGTATGTAGAAGATGACATAAAAAGATAATTAATGTATTTATGACATGAACATTAAGATGTTGGAGTCAGTTACATCCTATCATCATGCAATAAAATCATTAAATGATCCTGCACATCCTATGGGTTTTGGCGCCCTGTATTGTTCAAAGCGATTCCGATACTTCTTTTTAGCCAAGATTCCCTTTTTGGGTTCCAGTTGGACGGCACTCTGTTTAGCACTTTTCTGCTGTTGCCCCTGAGACGAAATCCATTGCTGAGACGTATTGCTGGGACATCTGGGCCACGGCATGATCCGGGTGAGATCAGAGTCCAAACACTATAGAGGATTTGTCGCGGCGGAAATGCTCCTGTGTGTCAGCGAGATAAGTGTAGTCAATGGAGGAACAGTCACGGTAATAATATCATATAAGCGTTTCCATTTAATCACTTAATATAAGTGAAAGAAAGGGGTGCAGTCTGCCTCGGGCCCAATGGAGGCCCTCCTTCCCCGGCGGCTATTTACGGATTATCAGAGAATAAACGGGTGAGTATTACTCATATTGCCTACACGGAGCGAACTTTGAAGCACGCCTTTCTAGCAGTGCACAACAGGAACGTTGAAAATATTTCAGGTAAGTGCGACGCTGTGAGACAGTACGCGTCAAAGGGAACGTGCAATGATATTGATGCGTGCGTGTTATGGTGAAGAACCTACTGTCTACCAAGCAAAAAAGAACAAGGGAGATCAAGAGTGCACAAAGAAAGATATAGATAACGGAGATTATGTAGACGTGTACTTAAAGGGATAAGTGAATAAATGAGGCAAAAAGTTCATTATATCTATATCGAATGACTGGAGAAATACAAAGGGTAATATTACCATACAATAAAAACGAGTAGTGCTGATCACAATTAACTACATTAACAGTGTCGATGATAAAAGAGTTTTGGAGAACATGTTGAAGTCGATGGCAGCACACAGTGGTAGACCGCACATGAACCCATGACCACTAGACTTATCAGCTCGGAATGGTACTCAAACTGCTCGTTAGATAGGCTTGGAGTAAGTTTCCTACTAATCCCCATCCAAGCCGAGGACAAAGTTAACAGAGAGATGGACAGTATCGCTCTGCTAATCCGGTAATGGG